AGGGAAATATTCCAAAGTCACAGGAAAGTTTATGGCAGCACAGTTGGAACCAGTCTGGATCAGCTAACATTTCTGCAAAAATAATGAAACCCTACTACCTGTCCGTTCTGCTAGATAATTATGACTGGTTGGAAAGTTACTGGCTCATCAGGGTAAGTATCTGTGGGCTCCCAGGGTTGGCAAACATAAAATAAAATGGTAACTTTTTCCTGAAGGGTCTTGCCTTCTCTGCTATTCGATCCTTCCCTCAGGGACCACCCCATCTTTTCCACTCCAAAACTGTACCTTCATCCTGCCCCAGCTGTCCCAAGCTGCCTGTTGAGAAGCCCTGCTCCAGCCCTATCTCCCTGGCCCACAGCTATGTTTCTGGATGGAGCCCACATCAGATTTCAGAAACTTCCTCAGAGAGGCCAAACTCACCTGGCTCCATCCAGCCTTTTACTTTGTGGTGATCAAGTGTGTTGTGTTCCATTACCTGAGTTTGGCACTTGGATTTGTCTAGCAGGCATTTTGGGGTGCCATTGGCCATTCAAGTTATGGAGGAAATGGAATCGTTAAGCAGCAGTAACTCGATCTGCTGAATCAGCCTCCATGTGGCAGTGATACATGACATTCTGTCCTAAGTACACCCTGGAAGCTGCTCCAGCCACTTTTCATTCTGTTCCTCAAATGCACTAAGCCTACTTCTACCTCAAGGCCTTTGACTTACTGTCCTCTCTACCATTCCCACTGCCTGTCTTCTCCAGATCTTCCCATGACTAGTTCCTTCTCATTGTATAGGTCTTGGCTCAAATGTCACCTCTTTAGAGAAGCCTCCCTAATCATCTTATCTAATGTAGCCTCTCTACCCAATAGCCTCCCAACCCCCACATCTCATTCCATATCCCATTGCTGTTTTATCTTCTTCAATGCAAATATAACTCTCTGATGTTACCTTATTCAGTGATTTATCTTTTTATTGTCTGTATCCTCCATCAGAATGTAAAGACTATGAACACAGGGACCTTGTCTATCATGCTCACCACTGTCTCCAACATTTAGAACAGACTCTAGAACATAATAGGTGCTTAGTAAATATGTTTTCTGTGATCCTGGGAGGAAGGAGATTTTAATCTCAATGGTGGATACTGCCAAGGAAATGACTAGGAAAATAACACATTTCAAGGTTAGGGAACTCTGGAGTATAGCCTTTTCAGCTGCACCACATTTCTATAATGCAATTAATATCTGATTGGCAAATAAGAAAATGGCACCATTGGTTCATATGTAATATTTTCCCAGAAAATCAGTGCTTTATAGAACTCAAAGGCAAGCTTTTTTAGTAAAAGAAGGAAGCCTTAAGCTAAGAATAATATGGCGCTGCTTTCCCTAAAAACAAGTAGTGGCTGGTTTAATGGCTTCAAGAACTGATGGCCTTCCTACAACATGAAGCTCTCTGGTGAAGCTGTAGGAATAGATGAAGAAGCAGAGAGGACATTTCCCTTGTGCTTAAAAACAATTGATGGTTGAAGAAAGCACAGATTCAGAGCAGATTTTGATGATAATGTTATTTGGTGGAGATGAATACCCTTGAGGACCTGCATCTTGCAGATTTAGGCTGCAAAAATCAGCTATGATACTGGTACAAATGGTAGTGGACGTTTACGGAATGCTAGTATTTTAATTGGTATAATTATTATTTTTATTCTGCTTACAAAGTTAAATATGTTGCGAGTGTTATGGCTCCATACTATTTTTTCTGTAACATTATTTTTCTACACAATTTTGTTGAATGCAAGGTTTTTTTAAAGCATTTATATATCCTGTTAAAATAGGAAGACTTGTAAACAGTGTTATAGTAGAAACAACTATATTTGCTGCCTGTCTTGCTTGCAGTGGGAGCTTGACTTGGCATGAAGAATAAAATATTAAGAGGGAATGTGAATAAAAACACATTTTCAATTAAGTAGCTTATGAGGTCAGACAAGGAAAGATAAGATAGCCCAGTTTTAAAAGTGCTTTCTTAAATAATAAAATTTGTTCAAAGGTGCAGCATCACAATTAGATGCTTCTTTTCATTCCAGTTCTGATGTCTCTAAATTTTTAATTGCGTATGTGTGTACATGTACTCACACATGCATGTGCCATAGGAAAGAAAAAATATTTTTATAAAATAAAATAACATAATATGCAAATCTAGTTGCAGATATTGCATTTTTGATAAAATTTTTAAATGTCTACAAGAGAAAATCAGTAAAGATATAGAAGACTTGAATAACACTATCCTAACTTGATCTAATTGACATTTTTATAGTTCTATGCCCAACACCGTAGAATGCACATTCTTTTCAAGTATACATGGAACATTTACCAAGATAGATCATATTCTGGGGTATAGGAAAGTCTCATTAAATTTAAGTCATACAGAGTATGTTCTCTGACTACAGTGGAATTAAATTAGAAATCCATAACAGAAAGATCTCTGGAAAATCTAGAAATATTTGGAAACTAAATAGAACATTTTAAAATAACTCGTGGTCAAGAAAAATATCAAAGGGAAAGTATAAAGCATTTTCAATTGAGTAAAAATGAAAATGTGACATGTCAAAATTTGTTGGATGCCATTAAAGCAGTACTTGGTGATGGAGGAGGGGATTATAGCACTAAACTCCATATTACAAACTTTCCTTTACAAAACAAAATAAAAAAGAGCAAACGAGTCCCCAGAGTAAGCAGAAGAGAGGAAGTAATAAAATTTAGAGTAAAATAGAAAATCAAAAACAACAGGGAAAAACAGTGAAACGAAAGCTCTTTATGAAGATTAATAAAATTGACCAACCTCCAGCTCAAATGATCAAGAGAAAAGATATAATTACCCAAATACAGAAGGGAGAGGTGACATCATCTAGGATTCTACAGTTATTAGAAAGATAATAAGGTAATATTAAGAACAACTCTGTAGGCAGTCTCTAAGATGTTCTTCAATGATTCCTATCTCCTGATAGTTATGCATTTGTGAAATCGCCTCTCCCTGAGTATGGGTTGGACTTACTGACTTGCTTATAGATGAGATGTCACTTTTGTGACAAGGTTACAAAAAGACTATGGCTTTCATTTTGGATCTGTCTCACTCTTTCACTCATTCACTTTGAGGGAAGCTGCCTGCCATGTTATGAGCTGCCCTTTGGAGAGGCCCACATTGCAAGGAACTGATGTTTCCAGTTGGCAGCCAGCAAGGAGGACCTGAGGTTTACTAACAGCCACATCAGTGAGCTTGAAAATAAATCTTCTGAGGTGTTAACAGCAATGTGAATAAGCTTGGAAGCAGATCCCCCTCCCCTACAGCCCAGCCTTGGAGGACTGCAGCCAAGGCTGACCCACTGACTGCATTCTTGCAAGAGACTCTGAGCCATAGGCACCCAGCTAATCTGTGCCTGCATTGTTGCAGTTTTACTCAAACTCTTCTAAAACACTGAAAATAATGGAGCATTTTCTAACTCATTCTATGTGGACAGTATTACCCTGATATCAAAATCTAATAACAACAACAAAATCTCTTGTAAGGTAATATCCCTCATGAACATAGATCCAAAATTCCAAACAAAATTTTAACAAATTTAATACAATCAAATATCTAAAGGATAATGCATCATGACAATGCATCATGACAAGGCGAGGTATATTCCAGGAATGCAATGATTTTTAACATCTAAAAATCAATAGAAATAATTCACCATATTTACCAACTTAAAAATATATATATCATCTTAATAGAGAAAAAATATTTGACAAGATTAAAATATCCATTTCTGATAAAGTTTCAACAAACTAGGAACAGAACTACCTCAACCTAACAAAGTGCATCCATGAAAAACCTGTAACTAACATAGTTTTAATGGCGAAAGACTGATTGCTTTTCCATTAAGAACAGAAAGATAAGATGTCTGCTCTCATTACTTTTATTCAATATTGGAGATTTTAGCCAGTGCAATAAAATAAGAAAGACAAGTAGAAGGCAACTAGTTTAGAAAGGAAAAACTAATATGGCTTTACCCTCAGATGACCTGATCATTTATGTAGAAAGCTCAATGTAATCAATTTCTTTTAAAACCACTAGAACTAATAAATGAGTTTAGCAAGGTTGCAGGATGCAAGATCAATGTACAAAACTCACTGTATTTCTAAATACTAAAAACAGACAATTGAAAGTGGAATTAAAAACAATACTATTTACAATATCAAAAATATGAAATATTTAGGGATAAATCAAACAATGTAAAATATTTGTACACTGAAAACTACAAAACATTGCTGAGCTAACAAACTGAAATACCTATATGATGAAAACTATAAAACATTGCTGAGAGAAATTAAACAAATTCTAAATAAATGGAGAGATACTGTGTTCATGAGTTGGATGACTCAATATTGTTAATTCTCCCCTAATTGATGTATAGACTAAGCCTAATCACAGTCACAATCCCAGTTGGCATTTTTAAAATAAATTGACCAAGCGATTTTTAAAATTATATGGAAATATGAAGGACCTAGAATAGCCAAAACAACTTTAAAAAGGAATAAATCTGGAGGACTAGGACCA